CCTCCTCCTCTTCCTCCTCTTCTTCTTCTTCTTCTCCTTCTCCTCCTCCTCCTCCTCCTCTTCTTCTTCTTCTTACTCTCCTTCTCCTTCTTCCTTTTACCCTTCACTCAATAAACTCCTCACTTAAATTCTATTCTATCCCTCACCCACCGTGAGGCCTCTGGTTCTCAACCTGCCAAGGTCTCTTGCATGCAGAATCGCCTGGGTTCTCACTGGCCGTGTTTTGAACCCACCCGTGACTTGATCCATCTCGCGCAGGAATCACTACATCGCCTACCTCTACCTCCTGAGTGCAGTGATTGAAGGTATGTGCCACCACCTCCCTGCTAAATGCAAGTTACCTACCATTGCCCTATATCCCCGGGTCTGGAGCAGATTTTTGTTTGATTGAAGTAGGCTGTCCTGGAACTCACTATGTAGACCAGGCCTTTCCCTGTCCTAGAGGACTGAGATTTAAACCGGCCTGAAGCATAATTTTTTTAAAAAATTTATTTGTTTTTATATACATTGGTGTATTGCCTGCTTGTGTGTCAGCGTGAAGGTGTCCTCAGATCCTCTGGAACTGGAGTTAGAGTTGTGAGCTGCCATGGGGGTGCTGGGAATTGAACCTGGGTCCTTTGGAAGAAAAGCAAGTGCTCTTAACCCCTGAGCTATCTCTCCAGCCCCTGAAGCATATTTTTACAGCATCAAATAGAAGACATTTAAAAAATTAGGAGCAGAAGAGTGCCTCTAAATTCATTGGCCACGTGGTGTAATCTACACTTCTAACTACCCGAAAGCCCTAATGCATGCAGCAGGCAGGTCGGGTCATTTACATTCCGTCACGGTGCAGGGCATAGGCACCGCGCACTAGTATTTCCGACCATTAAGTGCCCAAATGAATGGAAACAATCCGGCAGGCCGCGCGCCTGACCTAGGACGCAGATACGGACACCGTGACCAATCAGGGAAGAGCTTGGCACTCTCTTGGCCCGCCCTCAGGTCCTGCCCCCCGCCAATGAGTGACGGCCGCCCAGTCTGGCCGGCGCGCTATGCTGTCTGCACGTGAGGGTGCCAATAAAGTTCTCCGCGGCTTTGAATTTTTTTTTCTTAAAGAGCCCGCTGCGGTCACGGCGCAGGCCCCGCCCCGCCACTTCCGGTCCCGCCGCCGGGAGCCGGTGCGGCTGTGAGGGCTGGAGCTTCTTGCTGCCGCCGCTTGTCGGGCATGGTGTTGGATGCCGGCCCGCCTCGCCTGACTCGCGGTGCTCAGGTGAGCCGGTCGCGCGGAC